TTGTTGACCTCACTTTTGGTTGAGGTTTAGGTTTTCCTCTTTAGTAGCCTAAGATCTAGCCATAGGACTTTCTTACTGACTATTCTTAGAAAACTAGAAAAGGAACCCTCACCATTAGAAATTCTACAGTCCTCTTTTCTCCTCTTGAGGTTCCACATATTGGTCCTAACCTCTAGCACTTAATAGGTGGAGTCATTATGGGGGAGCTCAAGATGAGTCACCCTTAGGACTCTTGGACCTTAGGGTTGACCCTGGGTGTTGGTCTAGGGCCAAGACACTCACTTGCAATCACTTACACTCAATCACTCACTACCCTAATCCCAAAATTTCTAGGCTCTGGTCCCTTGATACTTTTGGGAGACTCCTGTAGGTAGTCCCCTAAACCCATTAGCCCTGAGCTAGGGTTTAGCTAAGACCACTACATATAGGACCCAAAATGGGGTTTCCATTGGTCCATGGCTTATTGATGGTGGTTGGTACTCCAACTCTACCAAGACACCCAACCTAGCCTTTTTCCCCTAAATTCCCCAAAATTACCTAGATACCTTTGGGACCCTCAATTTGGCAAAAATTTCCAAATCAACCGAAAATTCCCAACTTGGTCAAAAATCATTTCAAACACCTTGAAAACACCCAAACTACCCAAAATCACCAAAATTGGCCAAATTACCAAAATACCCCTCCTTACCCCAAATTCCAAAAATTCCAAAAAATCCCAAAAACTCCCAAAAACCCCAAATATTTCAAATTTCATTTTTCTCAACTATCACATGACCTAATTTGGCCAATTTGACCATCTTTGACCAAAACCCCTAAATTACCCTTTAAAGGCCCATATTTTCCCCAAATTACCTAAACTGTCTATCCAATTCGTCTAAATTTCCCCAAATTTAACTTCTAAACTCCGACTCACCCTTGATGTGACCAATCTAGACCAAATCTAAGCCCAATTGGTCCATGATTTGGACCTAATTTTTGATTTGGGTCAAACCCCCAATTTTGGCCACATAACCTAATCTCACAAAATTAAACCATAACCTAGTCAATTGGCCACAATTTATGTTGTAAATATTCATTACCATCGTAAAAATGAAAATTGACCTTCAATTGGCCTTAGTGGAGACTCAAATTGATTTAATTTGGACTTAAACCCAAAAGCCCCAAAATTAGCCCCAAATTAGCTAAGTCCCAAAATTTCACCAAATTGAATGCCTTAGCCCATAAATTGGCGCCCAATTTATGTTGAAAATGCTTTGTGGAGTCCCTATTGATCATTTGCAACAGTCAATTTGGACTTAGCTCGAGGCTAGCCCAAATCTAGCCCAACATGACTAAATTGATCAAAATCCAAAAATTCCTCAAATTGAACATCCAATTGAACTAAAAACCACTTTCATCCTTCATCAAAAGTGTTCTTTATGATCATCTACACCAAATTCAACATTTATTTGGGCCAATTGGCTTGCCTAGATTAGCTCAAACTCAATATTTAGTCATTGGCACCCACTTGGACCCATGCACTAAACTTGACCAAACTACCTTAAAGCAATCAAGCTAACTCCACCTCAGCCATTGGTTCGACCCTAAGACTAAGCCAAAGCCCATCTAACCCAAGTTAGATGAACCATGGACCAAAATTACCCCAAATTAAGGGATCTTTTTTCCAAAAATACACATGCTTAAGATACCCTTACCAAAACTAAACCCCATTGCATTAAATTACTTTGAGAGATTCTC